GTCACCATCGTGGTGGACGTCCTGGGCAACCTGCTGGTCATCCTGTCCGTGTGGCGCAACAAGAAGCTGCGGAACGCGGGTAGGCGCCCCCGGGGCCCTCTCACCTGTCCGGCCACCTGCCCGGAGCAGCTCCCTGGGCTGCCAATGGGCTTCTCCTAAAAAAAAAAAGTTAAATTCTTTTTTCTTAACAGCTGGGGACTTGGAGCCATTTTTCCTAACAGAGACCGAAGCCCGTCGGTTTACTTCCCTTGAACCAGCCCGCCAAAGATGTGTTTTCTTTCATAAAACAAGAATAAGGCTTCAGTCCTTCAGGGGTAGGGAACTTGGGCAGAGTCGGGGTCTCTTTATTTTAGAGAAAAACCCCGCTGTATAGTTTTCAGTTTCTGAGGTTTACTAAATTGAGAGACACTCGATACAGGTTGCGGGAAGTTGCTCAAAAAGCCTTTTCAAATACTATCAACGAACCACCAATTGCTTGGTTTTAGAGAGAAATAACGTTCCCAACTTTGTTAAAATTCGAGGAAAATACTTTGGTGAAATAACGGTGCAGTCGTTTTAGCTGTGTTGTCAGGAGTAGCTTTCCATTTTTGAGCATGCAATTTCAAAAAACCATGGGCTCCTAAACATGCCTGGGAAAGGGACTGTCATTCCTCCAAGTCAGACAAGTTTACACTTTAAAAATGGAAATTGTTGTAATAAAGCGTGCATTTATATAACATACTCCTACAGCTAACTCTGTGCTTGAGTTACACCTGCTTTTTCCTCCAGGCAGTGAGTGGAGATTGGTTTGTCCTGGTGGGAGCCTGACCATGGCCCGGAGGCCCCTGGGTGGTACGACCTGGGCTGGTGATCAGGTGCCCAGCTCTGTGTTTGGAGGCAGACTTTGTGGACAACTGCATGGGGAGGGGAAGGAACCTTGCATTTCACTTACGGTCTGTAGAAAGCAATATTTCTGTTCCAACCAGGTAATTGATCAGTGTTGTTTTTTGTTTTAAATTTTGTTTAACTCCCTTTTTCCCCCTACATTGCTTGAGACAGTGCATAGCTTAAGAATTAGTCAATAAGCACCTGATAACATGAATTGATTTTGAGTTAGTTCATAGAATAACCTCACTTCTTAGATGATTGGCGTAAACTAGAGGAATTCTGCCTTCAAGAAGAGGCTCCCAGAAGAAAACACAGGTGGTAAGCTCCTTGCCATAGGTCTTGGTGATTTTTTTAATCTGACATCGAAAGCAAACATAAACAAATAGAACTACATGAAACTGAAAAGCTTGTGCACAGCAAAGGAAACCATCAACAAAATGAAAAGGCAACATGCTGAATGGGAGAAAATATGCAAATGATATATCTGGTAAAGGGCTGATATCCAAAATATATAAGGAACTCATATGACTAAATAGCAAAAACAAACAAGAAAACTTATAATTCAATTTAAAAATGGACAGAAGAGCCCTGGTCAGTGTGGCTCAGTTGGTTGAACACTGACTGTCCCGTGCACTGAGGTCCCCAGTTCGATTCCCGCTCAGGGCACATGCCCTGGTTTAGGGCTCTCTCATCAATGTTTCTTTCTACCTCTCCCTTCCTCTCTCTCTCTCTCTCTCTCTCTCTCTCTCTCTCTCTCTCTCTCTCTCTAAAAGTCAATAAAAACTTATTTTAAAAAGTTGGCAGAAAGTCTGAATAGACATTTTCCAAAAGAAGACATACAGATGGCCAACAGGTACGTGAAAAGATCCTCAGCATCATTAATCATCAGGAAAATGCAAGTCAAAAACCACTGTTAGGAATGGCTATTATCAAAAAGAAAAAAAGGAGAAGTGTTGGCGAGGATGTGGGAAAAAGGCACACTTGTGCCTTGTTGGTAGGAATATAAATTGGGTTAGCTCATATGGAAAACAGGATGGAGGTTCCTTAGGAAATTAAAAATAGAACTACCCTACCACTCAGCAGTTCCACTTCTGGGTATTTATCCGAAGTTAATGAAAACGCTAACTTGAAAAGACAGCTGCAACCCCATGTGCACTGCAACATTATTTACAATAGCAGAGACAGGAAAACCTAAGTGTTCACTGATGGGTGGGTGAAGAAATTGTGGTATGTATACATTGGAATATTACTCAGCCACAAAAAGTATGAAATCTTGTCATCTGTGGCAACATGGATGGACCTCGAGGGCATCATGCTAAGTGAAATAAGTCAGAGAAATGCAAATACCACGTATGATCTCTTACATGTGGAATCTATAAATAAATAAATACAGGCTCATAGATATGGAGAATAGATTCATGGTTTCAGGAGGCGGGGGTCGGGTGGGGAGATTGGGGGATGGGAGAAATGGGTGAGTTGGTTTTGTTTCTTTGTTTGTGATTAGTTTAAATAAATTGATTGAAGAAGAAGAAGACAGGGCATGAGAAGGCCCAGTGCTGCGAGCATGGAATGAGAATTGTCCGTCTCAGCCGGGGACCGAAGCTCTCCCCGCTGCCCCCATAGCTCTGGGTGCTGGGCGTGCTCTTTGATTGTGACCAGTCTGCTTTGCACTCTCCTTGTTGCACTATTGACTGTCTGATTCCTTACATTAGGGTTCAGTGACAGGGCTTTGGCTTTGACTTGTCCAGTGCATTCCTTTGTTCCCTCAGAAAAAAATGGGGGAGAGAAAGAAGTTTGGGCGCCATGCTAACTGAATCCTCAGATCAGCCCCGTGGTGGGGGGCCACTGTCACCCTCGTCACGGGGGGTAACTAGGACACGAGGACACAGATGTGTGGAGCAGGGCTTTATGTACAGAGCTCGGCCCCCCAAGCTCGCTCTGTTTTGTCGATATCAACACTTGCAGCACCTTTTTGCATCCTGCAGAACCTTCCATTTAAAAATATTCACATGCCTGGAACAATTCTACTTCTGATTTATGGAAAAGAACTTCTAGAAAATGCTCCTTCCCCATTGCTTTGCATTTTATTTATTTGCTAAGAAATTTTTAAAATCTTCACCTGAGGACATGTTTATTGATTTGAGAGAGAGAGGAAAGGGGAGAGAGACAGAGTCCCACGGGGCTCTCAGGCTGGGTCCCCAGAGATTGCAAGCAGTCAATTAAGAGGAAGATTGGTGCGCGGAAAGAAACGGCACAGGTCCCAAGCAGCCTGGGTCCAAATAGACTCGTTCCAGCAGGTCTGAAAAACTGAACAAGCACAAGCTTTTGTGGGAGCATTTTGAAGAAGCAAAAGCCCCTGATTGCCATGAACTGCTCCTGAAAACCACACAGTGGTACAAAATGTGTTCATTAGATATGACAGTCGGCCGTCAAGGAGTGGGCCAGCCACGTACAGTGTGTTCTGCCTAAGAAGACAAGGACATCATCCTTTAGAAAGTTACCTATTTAAAGTGGTTTATTATTTTTTTAATTTGGTGCATAGTAAACTATCTATATTATAAAATATATATATATATATTTCCCAGAATGATGTTAAGATGGCACCATGGACACTGTCGTAGGCCATTCTGACAGTGGTTTCATTCAGGTCTATACTGAATATTATCTATATCCCTCCCGTATTACCACCCAGAGAGGTTCTCTAGAGTATGGAGAGAACCTGGGCTTTGGGCTCAGGGCTCTGAGTTTAAACTTGGGATGCACCAGGGCCGTTCGGAAGATGCTTACAGGTAGGCATGCTTACTTCAAAAATATTATTTTTGAATTGAGGCATAACATGCACACAGTAAAAGTGCACAAAACATAAGTGTACCGCTGGATGTAATTTTACATGTGTATATACTTAGGTGACCATCGCTTTTGAGAAATGATTTGACATAAGGGTGTTGATAGATGGCAGTATTATTATCCACAGTGTGAGCTAGAACTTACGGCAAATCTAAGTGCTGAAAACCACCAGCCTGAACTTTCTCTCTTGGACCGTCCACACGCAGATTGTTGCCTGTGTTGAACTGGACTCTGCTTGTGTCCGTTGCTCAGGCAATGAAGGCTGAGGCTCACTGCTTTCTTCCTTAATTGAACCCTTGGCCATTCTGTTTACGGTACCCTGGCTTTTATTTTCTCTTTCCCCTCCTTTCTTTTCCCTTCTCTTCCCTCGCCTTCTCTTTTCTTCTCCCCCCTTGTCTGTCTCTTGTTTTTTGGCCTCCAATATACTTTAATCACCATAATTATATTCAATCTCTTAGTAGAGGTCAGACGTGTATTTCTGTTTCCTGATTGCGACTGTTGTGTCATTTTTATACCAACAAAAAAGACTTGTAAGTCTTTTAATGGACTTATAAGCATGTTATATTCTAGAAGTTCTCTTACGGGTTTCTTAAAAGAGTATTGGGTACTTTGGCTCTTACGCTCGCCCACAAAATCATTCAAACCAGCAGTATGGCTGAAATAATACTCAGAATTGCTGGGTTATTGAGACTTACGAGCCCTGGCACTCTGAGGTCTGATGTCTGAGCCTCCTGGGGTCCTGTGAGAATGGGAAAGAGTGGTGTAAAGGGGCCAGTGGAAGCTTCACCTAGTAACTCATAGATGGCAGGAGATGGCTCAGGGACGTATGATGTTNGGTCCTGTGAGAATGGGAAAGAGTGGTGTAAAGGGGCCAGTGGAAGCTTCACCTAGTAACTCATAGATGTCAGGAGACGGCTCAGGGACGTATGATGTTGGGGGGGGGAGGTGGGTTTTGCATCAGAGATGGGGTGGAAATAAGTAGAAAGCAATATATGCCACTGCTTATCAGTTGAGTGCTCCTGTGTTGGGGACAAACACATCAGATCCCATAGGCAAGTGTGGAAGGAGCCTGTGCAGAAAACAAATCCAGACTCTGACTCCAGGGCTCTTACTGAATGGATGGCTCTGTGGTTGCGGATGAGTCATCGTCTCTCGGGATCGTCNTGCGGATGAGTCATCGTCTCTCCGGATCGTCTTCACATCAGCAAAATGATAGGGTTGAGCTAACTCCAGTGTCCTTTGATTTACATGATTATTAAACTCACTCTGACTTTGGAGATTATAATGCTATGAAATTGACTAGCAATAAGGAGAATTGTGGCTATAATGACATATTTGTATATCATGATAATCAGCATCATAAAT